ACTTCTGCAAACCTTGGGATCCTCCTGAACCTGCTGAAACTCTTGGACATAAATGGTGCCATTTGGGTTACATAAAGATCAGCACTTTAAGAAAGAGTTACCGTATTTTTCGCTCTATAGGACGCATTTCCCCCCTCCAAAAATGAAGGGGAAATGTGTGTGCGTCCTATGGGGCGAATGCAGGCTTTCGCTGAAGCCTGGAGAGCGAGAGGGGTCGGTGCGTACCCACCCCTCTCGCTCTCCAGGCTTCAGTAAGCTCTCCGCAAGCCGTGGCTTGTGGAGAGCTGCCTGTTCTGGGGGCACAAAAAACTAGGTGCGCCCTATGGGCAGAAAAATACGGTAACTATTAGTATATAGCATGGGTAGGCAAACAAAGGCCCGGGGGCCAGATCCGGCCCAATCGCCTTCTAAATCCAGCCCGTGGACAATCCGGGAATCAGCGTGTTTTTACATGAGTGGAATGTGCCCTTTTATTTAAAATGCATCTTTGGGTTATTTGTGGGGCATAGGAATTTGCTCATTCCCCCTCCCCCAAAAAATATAGTCCGGCCCCCCAGAAGGTCTGAGGGACAGTGGACTGGCCCCCTGCTGAAAAAGTTTGCTGACCCCTGGTATATAGGATGTGAATAAATCTAGTTAATCTGAATTTCCCCTGAATTCCAAAATGGGTAAGGACCAGATGTGACACTGGACTTATCTGCAGAGGACGAAGAATGAAAGGCTTGTTTTCAGAATTTATATCTCATCTTATCAGTGGCTATGAACAATAATATGGCACAATAAAACCATTATCCATGAAACAATAAAAATGCAGCAGAAAACAGCAGAAAAAGGAGGCCAACAGTAAAACAAGTGATAAAAAACTATGCTCAAGAGGGAGAACAAAGTAATTAAGTGCCATTAAAAGCTCAAAGGGAAAAGATAGCATTTGCCTGGCACCTACAAGGTACTAACCATGACACCAAGCGAACACGTCTTGGAAGAAAGCCTCACATTTTGGCCACAAAGGCTGTTAGTTGTCCACCTAGCCTGAGGAGGGTGGGCTCCAGAGAAAAGCCACTGAGAGATCTTTATCTAGTGCTGTGTAGCAGTGGGCAGGTAGGTTTGAAAGGCTGGACTTGAAAGATTTGCAGGGTGAAGACATTAAACACACACATTTGCCATTTTTGGAAACTTTTTCAGGCACAATTTACATTCTTTTATCCTCAGTCATGGGGCTCATATATATGTGTTAAATATGACTCTTGCAAATCCAGTTTTCATTTAAAACAAACACTGATCAGGATTCGCAGTAGAAAGCTGAACTTCTACGAGTTATAAGATAATCACTGCACAAAGATTTATTGTTATGGGCAATATGCCCATTGTTATATAATACAACTATTGATGTTCCAACAGTCTTTGCAGCTCATATTTCCTTTTCGATATCACTTAATAGTCAAGTGGGCTCCAACAGAAAGTAGCATAGCAAACTTGTTTAGGCCCGTTTTAATGTTATTTGGCTGCCATGAACAAGGAAGGGAACCAGCACAACTGGAACAGCCAGCTCTAAAAGGAATCAATACATCAATAGATCCGCTTCTATTGACTTTTCAACGTAGCAAGCCAAGAAAGCATCATTATACCAAAGTCCACAGTATTCTCTGTGGTAGGACTGAATCGGTCACTGCTGGCTTCATTTCGACATGCATAACAATGACTTTTTCACATTACTTTACAAAATCACAAAGTTGCAAGGAACAAAAGGTCATTAAATTGAACCTATGACTACCATAAAACAAACACAACAGACCTCACCCTAGACCCACCTTCTCACTGACTGATCAAATAAGCTAGGGAAGTGGTGCTCAGTTAGGGGTCCGGGGACACCTGGGGATTTGCCAGTGACTCACTTAACTTGTTAATTGCACAGTGAAAGCCACAATGATGATCCACAGATCACCCAGCCTCTGCTCATGACCAGGGCCTGCTTGCTAGCAGCGGGGAAACTTGTGAAAGAGTTGCTGGATTGCAAGTGAATTAGGACTGGGCAAAAACCTCTGACACAGTTTATTAGGGCTCTTGCAATTGGAGTGGCAGGGGGCAGTGAGAAAGGTGGAGAGAGAAAGCAAATGGCTTGCTCCACGGGTAGGGTTCACATGTTTATCATTTAAAAAAGGTAAGGGATCCCTTCCCCCTGCTCTCTACTTTTTAACTGAAAAGAACTTCTAATTGCTTTCAATGACTACCAAGTTTAGAGGACTCTCCCACTGCTTGTAGTAGGGTTTTCAGTGAATCTTGCTTTTGAGTTTGGGATTCAAGTCTCATCCTGGAAGTCCAACAGTGGAAATAGCTAAGCAAATTGCTACTATGATTAGCACAACAGCTCACCCTTTGATTTAGTTTAGTGCTAGGGCACTGTCTGGAAATAGGCAATTTGTGATAGCATCACAAATTTTATGGTCTGTTTTTTAGTATACCTAAAATCCCTTGCTTATTAGGGGCCACCCCACATTTTCTTCAAAAAATTGCTTTGTACAGGTAACTACCATAGAGTTATCAAAATTTTCAAAAGCAGGGGGTACATGGCTTGGCTTTTGAAAAATAGTGGATACTCAGTAATAAGCTAATTGGGAACCACTGAGCTAGGGACACCCTAGCACAGCAGTACCCTAGTGCAGCCACCAGGGGCTAAATACCGTATTTTTCTGTGTATAAGACTAAGTTTTTTCCCTAAAAAAATAATGTCAAACATTAGGGGGCGTCTTATACACGGATACATCTCCACCCATTTTCTTAAATCCGAGTCCCCCAAAATAGGAGGCATCTTATAGACGGAAAAATACAGTAGCTTATACAGGCATTTCAGCTATGAAAGCACCTGCACACTGTTTACTGTTGTCATCATAAAAAGAGTCAACTTACAAAATGGTGCCCATCGCACATGTTATGTAGCTGGCCAGCACATGGTACATTTCTCCACTGGAGAAACTCAAAATGTGTCCACAGAGTACATAGCTCTACAAGCCTTGGGAAAGTGAGCCGTGCCACAAACCACATGCATGGGCAAACTCTCTAGTACCACTAGCCAATCTTCTGCCCTGGGGAAAATTCATTCCAACTTGAAACATACTTATCTCATTTCGACTTTAGTCAGAGACTGCTGCTTTATACAAAGTGAAATCACCAGTGCATCTAGCACCATACTGGTCTCTCTGATTTTTTCTTTACTTAATGGCCTGCAGCTGAATTCCTATTTTAAAATATATAATCAATCATAGATGCATTTATGAAGAATATCTTACCCTGAAACTAGTGATTTGTGCATTTTTGCTACCACAATCTCTGCTGAAAGACTACTCTTAATCTCACTACAGCTTCTTCAACTTTCAGTTTACTTTGAATCCTTAACTCACATTATCACAAGTATTACCACTGCAGTACATCTGTTTATAAAACTTAATTCTGACTTAAACAACGGTAGATGGCATTGTGGAAAATGGACACACATGAAAAGGAGAAAGTGGAGAAAGGAAACACATGGAAAGCCTGCAGAAAATAAAAGACAAAAGTGTTCCACAGCAACCAACTAAATCAGTGTTCCTCAAGCTGTGGGTAGTGAGGGTGCAGTTCCTTAGGAGAGCATGGAAGATTTGTAAAGAACTGCACATGTCTTATTAGTAATCAGTCCACGAACAATAAGAATTTAGGGTTGCCAGTGTTGTTGGCCCTGGAATAACTGAGAGGAAGGAGTGGGGGCCACATGTTATCTTATGCTAGAGAAAAGATGCACTGCGAGAAGATGCAACGTGTGCATAGGAGATGGACAAGATGGGTTCCAAGGGCCACAGGATTCAACTGGCAACAGAGGTCTATGTTAAGTAGTATGGAAACCACATAGGAAACAGCCAACAAAACAACTAGCTTTAGGGAAATTCAAGGACCGTTGGAATGAAGGAGGAAGCAAGTTCACAAATAGTCTTTCTTAAAGAATGGCCTATTTAGATTCCTGCATTGGAGGGAGTTGGACCAAATGAAGAAGAAGAAGAAGAGGAGGAGGAGGAGGAGTTTGGATTTGAAATCCTGCTTTATCACTACCCGAAGGTGTCTCAAAGTGGCTAACGTTCTCCTTTCCCTTCCTCCCCCACAACAAACACTCTGTCAGGTGAGTGAGGCTGAGAGACTTCAGAGAAGTGTGACTAGCCCAAGGTCACCCAGCAGCTGCATGGGGAGGAGCGGAGACGCGAACCCGGTTCCCCAGATTATGAGACTACCGCTCTTAACCACTACACCACACTGGCTCAGGGTCCCTTCTAACTCCACAATTCTTATGATAAACATAATCCTAAGAGACAAAAAGAAAATACCAATTCTTAACTTTGAGGAGACAGAGAAAATGAGATGTCAGTCTGGTGCACAGTAAAAGGATACACACTTGGATGACTTTCACCAGTCTACTGAAAACAGGACCCCAAAGTCCCCCTGGGTTAAACAAATTGTGTCCTCTCTTTGAATGCACATGTGCATGGAAGAGAAAACCAAGAGCTGCAAAGTAGACTCTAGTTATGTATGTTTATAACACTGCTTAAGTCAGCACTGGGGAGTATCTGGTTGTGGAGCTGATTAAGCCCACTAGGCCTTCTCAATTCACCCACCAGGTCATTTAGGCAAAATCATACCCATCTAATCAGCTGCCTGATGTCATATGATATCAGGTAAAGCACAGGTATAGCTATGGTTTCAAACAGTGCTAAATTCAATGTTTATTTGCAGCTGCAGGTTGTATTCTGCACTGTTTGAATGCAACACATTACCCTGTTGCATTGCTTTCAGCAGGGATCAGATACACTCCCTACCCACCTGCCAAAGCGGCCCCCAGAGAGCAGGGCACTTCTAGATCTGGTCCTCTGGACCATCCAGTTCCACAACCCTCGCTCAATTCAAAGTAATTTTGGGCTGGGATGCAGCACAAACATATACTAGAAAGGTGGGGGGAGAGGAGAGAAAGGGACAAAGCTTACCTTGTGGCAAACTTCAGTTTTAATTTCTTTGAGAGCGCGTTCAGAGAAGACACATCCACAGTTGCGTAGAAAGCAAAATCTTTGGCAAAGCAGAGAGAAAATGATGTTCAGAGGTTAAATACACAGGCAAAATGAAGCTACAGACTGCTCTAACTAAGACTGCAATCCTATGCACACTTAACTGGGAGTAATTTCTGAGTAAGCATGTATAGATTTGCTGTAAGCAATGGGGTGTAAGACAATTGTGGCTAACTTGTATTAATTGTTTTAATGGGACCCAGGCTGCAGTGATATACACACTTAGTCTTATCACACTCAGTGGAACGTAACATTTCGAGCGTATATAGGATGGGCTGCACATCCGAACTAAATTTAGCTGGATCAAGGCCATAATTTATAAGCAAAAATTTTCAAGTCATACAAGAATGCAAAAGAAAGGTGATAAGAATAATAATAATCCATTTGTTACTGCCATTTGTCCCCAGCACACAATTTAGCCTGTGTATCCCAAAACACCCCCATGTGGTTAACACAGGAAGTGCATATTAAGAAAAGGCCTCTGCAAAATTCTCATTCATTAATATAGTAACAACTATCCCATTTCAGTAAGCATGCAATAAAAGCCAAGCATGTGCTATCACAGTACACTGGTACCTCCGGTTAAGGACTTAATTCGTTCTGGAGGTCCGTTCTTAACCTGAAACTGTTCTTAACCTGAAGCACCACTTTAGCTAATGGGGCCTCCTGCTGCTGCCGTGCCGCCGGAGCACGATTTCTGTTCTCATCCTGAAGCAAAGTTCTTAACCCGAGGTACTATTTCTGGGTTAGCGGAGTCTGTATCCTGAAGCGTATGTAACCCGAGGTACCACTGTACATATTTAGTTTTACAGATACTAAAATTTCATAGACTTTTCCATATTCTTCAATGACATTAACGCTGATAAAACTTACAATATGCAGGCCTTTAGACGCTTCCCAACTTGACCTGAATAGGTTGTCCCTTGATCCTCAAATAAGATTTGATTTTTCTCATAGCAAACTATTTAATGTGTCTAGATTTTGGTCATTAATCCTGAAGGCTTATGTATATGCACTAGGAAGTAATTCCTAATGAGCACAGGGAGAGAGATATCTCTGAGTAAGCATGCACAATACTGGGGTGCATGTGACATATCTGCACATCATGCTCCTGTTCAGAGCCCCACAGGACAACAGCAGCAGACTCTGTGATTCCACTTCCACCTTCCTAAGTAGCATGTCCCATTGAAATCAGTGGCATTTAGTTTCTTTGAAAACTTGCTTAACCATCCAAGAACAGTAATTTTTCTCCACCACACAGGATACTGAATACTTACCGATGCCTTCCGTTCATTTCCAACCCAACTATAGGGCAAATGAAACGTGCACTCTGGATGTCATCATATTTATCCCCTTTTGTATTCCCCTTGTCACCAGTCCAAGCAGGATTGTCTGAGAGATTTAATTCTATGACGTTCTGAAAGGAAATAAAATCTCTTACACAAGTTTTTAAATGGAAGCAAGTTTAAATGGAAGTGACCTCCTGAAATAATGCAGTTCTTCCCTTTATCATTCTATATTAATAAAACCATTTGCAAAACATTCAAGGTTAAATTCCCACTCCTGACTAAAGGTTTCTTTAAAAAAAAAAAAAAGCAATGGAAAAGAATTGCTTTTCTAGCCACAGATCTACTCAACTATTACAAGCCTGGTTAATTTCTAAAATAGCAACTCACCTGATAGAGACAACAAGACATAGCAAGCAATTTTAAACTGTTGGTGCTTAGGCACTGCATACTGAGCTTTAATTGCCATTATTCTGTTATTACATGGTGCCGCCGGCAAGATACGAATGCCTCGCAAGCGAAAAACCCCGCGAAGACGAAAGGTTTTGCGTCGCGAGCGCTGCGCAAGACGAAGTTCCCGTATGCGACCTTGGATTCGCAAGACCAGAAAACGTCTGCAAGTCTCGCCATCTCCCCCCCCCGCTTCCCCCCCCTTATTCAAAGCCGCTAAGATTTCCGTTAATAGCTCTTATGACACTTATTCCGGCATAGCCGCTATATAGCGCTAAATCGCTACATACGCTAAATGACCTAAAGCCGCTAATGGGGTGCTTTGTGCGCAACGAACCGAAAAAAACCGCTCAGAAACACGACAGAGAATCGCGGAACGGAATCGGGCCAAGTGAGGCACCATACTGTATTTTTTAACAATTTAATAGAACTACGTTAAGCATCAGAGACACCACAAAAGTGGGGCTCTTAAGCTCTCTCTCTGCCCAAATACATTTTAATGTAAGGGGGAAGGAAAGCAAAGAAGGGACTACAGGAGAAAACAAGGGTCAAGTCATGGGGTAATGCAGAAAGAATGAGGCTGAGAGTTGTTCTTAAACAACAGTAAAAACTAGGAATCCACAATTCCATTTGTCACAGCAAGTTCCCAATCCCCTTATGGTGAATATCATGAGCCTTAGGTCTTCCTTCTCTCCCAGGAGCAGTACCATGCTTCTGAGTTGCTTGGAGGGGCTCTGAAGCACAGTACAACTTGCAATGAACTCCAAACAAGGTGGAGGGGGCACTTCAGAAGCATAATGCAAGGTTGGGACAAGTGCCATAACATGGGAAGGGGCATGGTTCTGTGACGAGTATTTATCAAGGCCAGGCAAAATTTGTGGATGCTTCACAATATCCAGAAGGTTTTGAATATAATTTTAAGAAAGAAGAGGGAATTGGTTTGATAGACAAGGTCATTTTGAGTGCAAGGAATACTATGACAGAAGCAAGAGCAGACCAATAGCCAGCATGCAAAAAAGGCATCAGAAGATGCAGCATATAAAGATTGCACCATGGTTTTTTTTAATAGAAGCCTGCTAGAGAAAGTAGGAGCTCCAATGTTTCATTAAAATAAATAGGATTTGTGTTAAGGAATTATACAAAATAAACTTTCTCTGAATTATGCCTAATAGTTGTAGGCTCCGGTATCTAGAAGGTTCAGGCAGATTACAAACATGTGAATTTACCTTAATACTCTTGATGTGGGATGCTGCTTCGACAAGGACTTTATCGGAAGATTTATCCAGCAAAAATTCAATGATTGCATCTTTGTTATATAGTCTGTAATAGAAAATATACTGTAAAACTCGGTAAACTTCATGATTGCAATTTATTCAGAAATTAACATTGTTTCACTGAAAACGAGTTTAAAAATCTAATCCTACCTGCCAAGTTCACAAGCGACTATAGGCCTGCTCAACTTTTCTTGACTCAGAGTGCAGTAGTACCACTGGGCCACCAATTCTGCATTTTTGTCAACCTGAGGAATACATAAAATTATTAACATTTTGTGAAAGAAATTCTTAAAGAAAAAAAACTTTACAGACATCTTCCTCCTTCTATGTGAAACCTACTTTCCCCCCAACTCTAGTTTAAAATGAGTTGAAAGGGAGTTGGCAACAACAAAGATGATCAGAGCTTTCTAGGGGGTTTTGACCCAACATAAGCAACTGGAGAAATGCTTTGGGGCAATTTCATTTAAGAAAGAAAAGAAAAAGAAAACCCACTGGGAATGGAAGAAAATAACCCCAAATTATTTTCTTTGTTTAGTCAAAGGTTGCTACTCAGACAAAACAATTTCTGAATCTTCATTGTCTTTTAAGATTTTGTGTCAAACATTTGCTCACCAGCATTCTGCAGAGAAGTCAGAAAGCTCTCATGACACACAGCCCAGCCTCAAGGAAGGAAACAACCCCGAGAGAACACAACCCCCAGACAAAGGGTAGAGAAGGAAAAAATGTCGTCGTCCCCAATTTCTTAAATGCTGACAGGGCCCTTTTCACTCAATTCTGCCCCCATTTTACCTTCTATGATAATGTTCTATGATTCACGTTCATGAGCATGTTAACATCACACAACCCAAGTATGATCCTTCTTGATGACAGCTGCATGAAGATCAGCAACACCATACTTAACATGTTGTTGCAGTGAAGTAATATGTCAAGTCAGGGATGTCCAACTCCCAAGAGACTGTGATCTACTCCCACTATAAACACAATGGCAGTGATCTACCCATTGGATTAACCAAAGTTGTTGAGCGTTTTTTGGAGTGGGGGGGAATAATTTAAATTGTTGAGCTTTTTGGGAGGGAGGAAGACCCACAGTTGTTAAGCTTCTTCTGGGGAGGCTTCATTACAGTTGTTTAGCTTCGCGATCGACCTGTTGGACATCCCTGTGTTAAGTCATGTTGAATGTGTCAGCTTCTTTTTCTGTGTTTTTTAAAGATAGAACGGAGGGCTGCTGGAAGTGTGGACCCTCCAGAACAGACCACATCTGTTATTGAGATGTCCAATAGAAGAGTCGCGGAAAGGTAAAACAAGGAGGGGTCTGGCGGGAAGCACCAATCCTTATCAACCGTTCAGAAAGAGGGAGCACTCCTGCCAAAGGCGTTATGCTTTGTCCACCCACTCTTTTCCTTTGTGGCAAAGGTTTCCCAAAAGCTTAGCTACCTCACGGCAGCTTCTGAGGCTGGGACTACCCCGCCGTCTCCGAAAACCATCTTTCCCATGGCCCCCCAAGGCCTCAGCGCGTCCTCCGGCCCACCCTTCCTCTACCCCAGAGGACCAGAGCCAAGTCCTTTCCCGGCCTCACCTTCTCGATCTTGCGGGGCCCTTTCACCAGCTCGTGCCTCTTGGGGATCGTCCCCCCGTCGCAACCCATCTCTCTCCCTCAGCTACTCCGCCGCCGCACTTCCGGGTTCCTCCAAAACAAAGGAGCTTCCGGTCGACGGAGGCCGTCTATTTCCGGCGCAGAATGGGAAATAGGGAGGGCGAGGGGAGATGACGTAGGCGGCCGGCGTTGCTAAGGGCAACCTGGCAACCAGCAATACACTTCCCGGAATGCTTTCGGTGATTCGGTGCGGCTGTTGTTTTATTTGGTGCAGCCGAAGCCATTGCGAAAAAGATAAAATACGCGAAGCAGAATACAATAAAATGCATTACACGTTTAAAATAGTCGTTGCGAAAACCAGACATTCTGTCAAAGAGTTTTTGCTCCCTTGGAGGATTTAGCTTGCCATTCCCACATACATTTATCCAGGCTACTTCAAATTGAAAGTAAGAGCCTGGCCCCAAAGCGTGTTTGCATCGCAGTAAAGCTGCAGCCTAGGCACACTTCCTTGAGAAATTGTACCACACTAACTGGGATTCACTTTGGAGTAAGCAGTGCATAGGGTCTGGATGTAGTGCTGCTGCTGTTGTGTGCAAAGCATCGCTAAGATCAACGGGACTCCGTTCTGAGTAAACAAGACTGGACTGAAAGGCTGAAGTTTTTATGCTTGCTTACATCCCCCAGCCCTTCCATCACTCAATTAAAAAAGAAATAAATTACCAGTAAATATTTCCATACTGTTTTGCAATCATGTTTCCAAGGCAGTGTGGTAGTGGGGCAGCAACCAAAGAAAATACAACCGTTGGTCAGCAGTTCTGCAAGGAAAATGTGTAAAAGGCTCTTGCTGAATCTCCCCTTCTGTCACAGATGCATGGGAAACCCCCGGTTTCTGAGGTCAAACAGACTTTTGGGGGGAAATCACCAAATAAAAATGACGTTTTTGAGCTGCTTTTAAGGAAAATCGGAGAATCAGAGAAACGGCAAAAACGACACTGCCAACATGGGTTGCAATGCATCCGGATTTTCCCTGACATCTGGCCGATTTCCACCCGGACACTGCTTCCGACTACAGTATTCCGTGTATGTCCGGGAAATTCCTGACGTATGGCAACCCCGCCTAAACAAAGCCCTGCTGCGCTTCTGGTCACTTTGGGGCTTTCTCTCCTTTCACTGAAGTCCTCTTCAGGCTACGGGAATAGTATCCTTATGAGCCACAATGACTCTCCAGCTCCCTCCCACCATTTCTTGGTTTGAATCTATTTAGTTATTTATTAATTTCCCAGTACCCTATGTGTATGCAGCCAATCCTGCGAAGTGCCAGTCTTTCTTGTTCCTCTCTTTCTTCTTTGACCAGCCATAGAGGCAGGCGTGCCTCCGCTTGCTCCAGCTTTAAATACATAGATGTCTGAAGCTGGCTATACAGTGGTACCTGGGGTTACATACGCTTCAGGTTACATACGCTTCAGGTTACAGACTTGGCTAACCCAGAAATAGTACCTCGGGTTAAGAACTTTGCTTCAGGATGAGAACAGAAATTGTGCTCCGGCGGCACGGCAGCAGCAGGAGGCCCCATTAGCTAAAGTGGTGCTTCAGGTTAAGAACAGTTTCAGGTTAAGAACGGACCTCTGGAACGAATTAAGTACTTAACCCGAGGTACCACTGTACTGAAAATCTAAGTATTTTGCCTTCTTAGGTTTTACTGCTTAGGTTTTATTGCTGGAAACCAATGCAAGGCCATAAGTAAGAAAATTATATTTTAAGCTTACTTTTCAGTGTGTTGCCTGATTCTTTCTTAAGCTGTTCAAGGGCCTTCTCAGCAGCCCGAGGCAGCACATTATCACACACACACGCACACTGGTATATATTTGTTGTTGCAACATTCCTGTGAGGTAGGGAGCTACAGTGCTATTGTGCTCCTTGCACAAGGAGAAAATGGACACACATTCTGTTTGTTTCTCGAAGAGTCTCTCCATTACTTCTAGAAACAGAACTCAGTTTTTGCAATCACTTATTGATTTAAATTTATTTATTAAAAGGCTTTTCACTTAAAATGTAACAAAGCAGTGTACAATGATAAAATTACAGTAGAATTACATCAAACTGCATAAATACACAATAAAACAAGGAGCAGAGGACAATTAAGCCAGCATTAATGGCTGGTAGATATTTGCATCAATAAAAAAATGTTTTAAACTGTCGGTGGAAACGTAACGCTGAATGTGCCTGCTGTATTTCTGAGGAGAGACTACTCCATAGCACTGGTACAACTGTAGAGAATGGCCTCTTCCTGGTTGTCACCAGATGGGCCAATGCAGGTCATGGCACCACTAGGAGAGGTTCCCCTGAAGATCTTAATGAACAGACAGGATCATATGGAAGGAGGTGCTCTGTCAGATAACTGTGTCCCAAGTTGTTTAGGGTCATATAAGTCTATAAGAAAACCTTGAACTGGGCTCAGTAGTCCATTGCCATCCCTTGCAGCATCTTCAAGAGAGGTGGTTAGAAGCATAGCTGCCACATTCGGCACCAGTTACAACTTCCTAAGAACAGACCCACAAAGAGCACATAACATTAATCCAAACTTGTGGTTACCAGTGCATGGGTCACTGCAACCAACTTATTTCAGTCTAGTTGTAGTTACGGTGTACCATTGGAAGCAGAAAAGGTGGCCTCCAGTGACATTGATGTTTCCAGGAGCACCTTCAATCGTCACACACGTTCTTTCAGGGAGAATGCAATGCATTCAGAATAGGCAGCCCATCTAATTCCTGGAACTACTCACCCACAGGGTCTGCCTTGTTGGAATTCAGCTTCTGTTTGTCCCTATTGTTACCTTGCACTGTGAAGGGACTGCAGATGGCAGCCCCCCACTTCCTCCACTCCAAACCTTCCTGTGTCAAATGGGAAGTTCTGAAGGGGGGGTTGTTAAAAGTGTTTCACTGAGTGCAGCTAGAATCCTCCCCACATTCAAGAATCTTGATAGCACAGGATTTCTGAACGAATGCCTGAATTTAAAGACCTGTCAGTATGGGGTATCCTCAGAACACCAGAAGAATGATGGCTTCATTCCATCATTGCTCGGAATTGCTGTGTATACTTCGACAGCCCATCAGCTTGATTCTGAAGTTCCTTCATTGCCTCGGGGCTTGGATATTGCATTGCAGCATTTTTCGTTGCAACTGCCAAGTTCTTTAGCAAACCACAAAAGTTGCTGCTGCCATGCAATATCTCGTTTCGATCGGCCTTCTGAAGGGCTTCCTGACATAAGGCGTCCACCAACTTTTGGCCCACCATAATTATCATTTTGCTGTTGGCTATGAAAACTTCAGGAGCCAGATCGTTGCTAAGACTTTTGTGGAAGACACCAATGGCCTTCTGGACAGCACCAAAATACAGTCTGCAGAGATCAGAGAGGACCATCTTCTTGGTTGAATCCTCCTTGCCCACAACATTATGCCTCATCATAGGTGGAGAATCCTAGAGAGGGAAAAACGAAAACAAGAACTATTACTGAGAGCTATCAACATTCATCTTCTTGGTTGAATCCTCCTTGCCCATAACATTATGCCTCATCATAGGTGAAGGAGACTGACAGGAGATATGATAAACCATCTTCCAATATCTTAAGGGCTGTCACATGGAGGAGGGAGCACGCTTGTTTTCTCCTGCTCTGGAGGGTAGGACTCGAACCAATGGCTTCAAGTTGCAAGAAAGGAGATTCCAACTAAACATATGGAAAAACTATCTGACAGTAAGAGCTGTTCAGCAGTGGAACAGACTCCCATGAGAAGTGGTGGTCTCCTTCCTTGAAGGTTTTTAAACAGAGGTTGGGTGAACATCTGTAATGGATGATTTAGCTGAGATTCCTGCATTACAGGGGGTTGGACTAGATGACCCTTGGGGTCACTTCCGATTCTATGATTCCCCAGCCTGGTACCTTCCAGATGTTGTTGGCCTCCAACTCCCATCAGTCCCAATGAGCATGGCAAATGGTCAGGGATGATGGGAGTTGTAGTCAAAGACAAATCGGAGCGCATCAACCTGGAGAAGCCTGAGTGTAGTTTTTTTGTAAGGCATTCCATCACATCAGAAGTAAAGGTTATTTACTAATACCAGTTTACAGTGGTACCTCGGGTAACATACGCTTCAGGTTACATATGCTTCAGGTTACATATGCTTCAGGTTACATACGCTTCAGGTTACAAACTCAATTAAAAAAAAAACCCCTTTATTAGGCATATCACACCTCAGGTTACAAACTCTGCTAACCCAGAAATAGTGCTTCAGGTTAAGAACTTTGCTTCAGGGTGAGAACAGAAATCGTGCTCTGGCAGCGCGGCAGCAGCAGGAGGCCCCATTAGCTAAAGTGGTCTTCAGGTTAAGAACAGTTTCAGGTTAAGAACGGACCTCCAGAACGAATTAAGTACTTAACCTGAGGTACCACTGTACTCAGAAATACTACAGTTAGGGACACAGAAACCTGCCTTATGCTTTATCAGACATTTAGCCCAGCTAGGTCTACTATGACTGGCAAAAGCTCTCCAAGGAATCAGGCGGAAGTCACCTATTACCAAATTCTTTCCTCTAGCGAAGTCGGGGATTGAACTAGGGCGGTAACTCAATTTATGGAATGTTATTCAATTAATTGCATATGTTACCTGTCAATTAATTAATTAGAGAATAAAATCTGCATAACTCTGCACATGAGAAAACGGTGTTTTAAGATTATGTGTGCATGTGTCAGTCATCATCTTTAAAGAGACATTCCACTTTCTTTCGCACAGGAGGGAATGTTTCTTGGTACATCAGGGTTTTTAATAACAATACATTTGGGAGCAGGGAATATGCTGCCCGATTAACTGTGGAAAACTGTTTTAGTTGGTCAAAATGTTTTTTACTAAATTAATCTGTTAACAGATCTATCAACTAAATGTTTCAGTCATAATTTCAGTGGAACAAAGGTGTGATTTGAAGGATTATATACCACAATGGGGAACCTCCAGTGAAAAGGAGACATTTTTAAAAGCCTAATTGTGGTGTGGGAGTGCTGAAAAAAAATCTGAACCAGATTAATAATTTTAGATCTTTGCTGCAAAGAGTAATTTCACCTT